CGTGCACACACGCACACACACACACACGCACACGGCATGTAACAACCCAACGCAAACCCACCATGCACACAATGAAAGATACACTCTAACGTAACAAGAATAAGGCACACAGGGAGATCTCACAGTAAGGACCCCCCCGACCCCCCAGTCACACACACACTTTCCTTCCCTGTCTTTAACACTGCTGCAGCAGCTGAGCCCTCCACAGCCTGTGAATTAAGACAGCATTAAGGAGGTGGAGGCTTGCTGACAACCAGACTTCATTAGGCACACAAAGCAGACGTTGTGTTACCGCTCACATTTATTCTGCTCATTGACTGTGGGGGGAGCTCAGCCACACAGCACCCTGAAATCAATGAGCACATAAACATGCTGCCCTAACAGGATTAATCCAACACTCACCTTGGAAATTATTCTACCATGAACCCAGTCCGTACTTAGAGCAGATTCATTTGTATGGAGGCGCTTCGGATTAGCTAACACCGAATTCAAAGGACACTTTTTACCCACTGGCTGATGAAAAGATAAACATTGATTAAAAAACTGTAGTAACAGAGTTGTAAATCTGCTAAACCCTCTGAACCTGTGAATGTTACTCTCACCCACAGACAGAGCAGATACCGGGAGCACTGAGAATAGAATAGAATAGAATAGAATAGCCCTTTATTGTCAGTGTACGTGGGAAAAAACTTTGAATTTTACCCAGTTGGGTGGATCCATATTTGGACATTGACACAATCATTGATATTTTTACAGTTATATAGTAAATATGAGCCTAAAGTGCAAACTCTCAGCTTTGATTTGAGGGTATTCATCTTCACATTGATTTACCAGGATGAAGTAAGTAGAGATGCTCAAACCTCCCTCCCCCTAGGCACCGCCTTAAGCTTTTCTGGGGGGAATTGCACTGTGTCTGCCCCAGGTGTGTCAGAAACCCCTCATCTAGGAGGTGCTGGTCATATGTCTGAAAGCAGTGCCTTTACTGCGGCCTCTCCTGAAAGGTCCATGGAGTAAACTAAGAGAATGTCTGGAGGAAGCTCATTTCTACTGCAAGGATCGGCAGTCCAATTCTTTTGGTCACTATCCACAGTTCCACAGTAGGCAGTAAGGGTTAGGGTTAGTAGATCAACCAGTAAATCAATGGCTCTCCCTTTATCACGAGGGACCAGTCTGTCTGTTATCATCATGCTCGACTCCTCCTCCATGCTACAGTATCAGTATTTCCTTCATCTGTTCAACAGGTGCAAAGTTTGGAAATAATTTCAACTCAACCGTTCTGAGTGATCACAGGATCCTTGTGATGGTAGAGAAACACTATCAGGAGGTAGGAACAGCATTATCCACAAGTTCACCACGCTGTGAAAATTTCCCATCAGTCTGTAACAAAATTCCAAGAGAGAAACTTATAGACTCATGATCACTGACTAAAAACATGCTGAAGACAGTACGAAGTCAGGGCATGTTTGACTTTCAGTGGCACTGAGTCACTGCTGTTTACTGATGATGTGACATATGACAGAAGTGTGAATTCTGAATTGGACGACACGCCTTCTGCTCAGAATCAGCATATTTCTGCAGGATTGACAAGACGGAGCAGATGGGAACGTACGTAATGACCCAAAACATGCTTGAAAAACAAACCCAGAAGTTTTTAGAGGTACAGTGGCTGACTGTCAGTCGAAGGCTGCCGAAGAAAAGAGCTGCAGAAAAGTCTGGAATCAAAGAGTCATAAAGAGAGCTGTGGTTTCAGGGAGGCGCTTCCTGCAAAAGATTCTGGACAAACTATTAAACAGAAACATTTTATTCCTCATTATGTGAATTTGCACAATGACCAGTTGTTTGGTGGTTCATTGGTTTCAACCCCTTGAAATAAAGCTGAGAGTCTGCACTTGCAGCATGATAGTCTCATTTGAACTTTACTTGTGTCACTGTCTTAAGAACCAACTGTATTTTCTGTATATTTTATAAGCTTTACATAAGCTGCATTGACTTACACATTTTTAGGCAACTTAATAACGAGGCTTTTCCAGTAAGTTAATGAATTTAGAGGTTTTGAGATGCTGCTGATGTAAGACTTGCCATCCATTAGTGCCACAGCTTACTGGAAAGAAAATATTGTAAAAACAAAAACAAAAAAACCTCAACTGTCAGTCTATAATCCACAAATGACAGGATCACACGTCTGTGGAACTGCAAACTTAATACTAAATGAAGGCTTTTAATTTCTTCCCTATTTTTACAGCTTTGAAAGCTCAACAAAAGTTAGTGAACCTTCAGTAAATATGAATTACTCTTTGCATTTTTATCCAATTTTCTCTATATAGGCACTAAAATATTATTAGACCCCATCAATCGTATGGTTATGTTAAAGTGCATCTTTAGGACACTAAAGCCAGTTGATCTGCAATGTTTAAGTTAAAGAAATATTTAAAAGCTAAATGGACCAAAGAACTTCCTGTGCTTTCCAAGTAATGTCTTAAACGTGGACTAAATAGTGACACACATTCACTCCCAAAATAGTCTCTCACGTCCATCAGAAGAAGAAGTGAAAACAAAGCATGTTAAACAATAAAATGCAGCTGTCTTCATGTGCAGATAGGAGGATAAGCATTGAGACATGAGAAGTAACATATACGGTCAAAGTATATGACTGACACCTGAGTGGAAACGAGACCAGAGCGACAAATATAGAGAAAGAAACTAAAAAGAGATGAAGAGAGACACTGGTGGGGAAGGAAGACAGACACACTGGCAACATATCTGTGACATATGTTGCAGTGATTGCTCAGAAGCCACAGTGTGAGATGAAAATGGAAACGCAAATACTGGCACACCTAGAGAGGTTACAGGTTAAATCAACACAGGCAGGAACCTTGAAAAGAGAAGCAGAAACAGAACAAGTCACATGCTTTATGTTCTCACTTTGTTGGCTGCGGTTCCTGTTGGTGGCTCAGTGGAGGATGCGTCTTGTAAAATGACATCAAATATGTACATTTATGTGGAAACAAACAAAGTGTCCTCAAAGCTATGCCTGAACTTTCTTCACCACCGAGATGGTTAACTGACAGTTCTCTTTAGTTCCCAAAGGCAAGTTTTTTATGTTAGTCTGAGTGCTGTGCTACGATCTGTTATTTGGAAAATGATGCAAATGCTGTGTTAAGTAGA